AACCAACTTCAGCGTGTGATATCAACAAAACAACTGATCATTAGATAACCAACTTCAGCGTGTGATATCAACAAAACAACTGATCATTAGATAACCAACTTCAGCGTGTGATATCAACAAAACAACTGATCATTTAATAAACAACTTCAGCGTGAGACATCAACAAAATAACTGATCATTAGATAACCAACTTCAGCGTGTAACATCAAGAAAACAACTGATCATTAGATAACCAACTTCAGCGTGTAACAACAACAAAACAACTGATCATTATATAACTAACTTCAGTGTGTGACATCAACAAAACAACTGATCATTAGATAACCAACTTCTGATTGACATCAATAAAATGACCAAACGATATTTACATCAATGTTTCTTTATATCTGATTACTGAAGTCATTTAAATATATTTTTCATCTTTCTATAAAGTAAATAGGAGCTGACATTATATAATTTTGATTTTTTTTTCCACTTTCAAGGTCTTTACGTGAAAGATAACAACCGAGGTGCTCCTGTTATATAGAGATAACAACCGAGGTGCTCCTGTAATATAGATTTTTTTCTCTTGGCAACGAAATTATATTCTTCACGTTAGAAAAAGTACGCTCCGTCAGTTGTGTATAGTTGTTCTCTTTCTTGAAGCAAACAAAACTCAATCTTCTACTAGGATTAAAAATCAAATTAACAGTGGTTTTAAATCTTCTTTGCTACTGCGTGTCTGGAGTGTTGTAATAAAATTGAACAAACCAGGTAAACACGTGAGAGAAAGCAGTGTCTATTGTTAGTTGACGTGTTGTTCCTTTAAGTCTGTGACGTATAAGCATGTAGTCTTGGCCAGAATGTTTGCATACTATTCTATATTGATGTTATTGTCTACAAGCATGGAGTAGTTATTGAGTAAATACCTGAGTAGTAACAGAAAAGGTAGCTTATGATCGGACAAACATGTACGAGTTGTTATTCTGGTCTGTATAAGTTGTTTGAGCATTTGTTCGTCAGAACACACACACACACCTGATTTGTACAAACAAACAGGTCAACGCTTTGTTCAGACAATTTCTCTGAACATGGTATAGAGTCATCGCTCGTCACGTGCCAGAAGTTATAGGGCGTCA